ATTGTTGCTGCAACAAATGCAATTGGTCCTTCTAAAGACGAGCCAACCCCATATCACTCCATAATGATGTAAGACGAAATGATCAAACCTCCCGTTGAATATCAGGCTTCAAACCCGCCACAAAACAACTTAACAAAAAGGAATTCAAAAGGCCAGAGACTTGATTGTTAAGGGCTTCGAATTGCGATTGATAATCCACAACAGTTCTAGATTGAGTTAATTTGGCAAGTTCCCCTTGAAAATCCACGAAGTAAGAAGGGCCAACTCGGACCTTCAAGACCGCCAAAAATTACTACCAAGAGCCTAATTGTCCATTGTTAAGCAACCAATGAAGCCATGATAAAGCCGAACCATCCATGTGGAAAGAGGCTATCGAAAGACACTACTCCTGAGGGGTCTCATGGTAATAAAAAATTGTGTAGCCTTAAAAATCCACCCATCTAGATCCGAACCATCAAAATGATGGACCTCAAATTGAAAATGTTTAATAAAAAGACCCGCACTATTAGTACGCTAGCAAAAAGTACTTCAAGAACAAAAGCAAAAAATCAAAAACAACAAAGCAAAATGATTGATTTGTTGAAAAACTTGACATTAGCTGTAGCATCTCCATCTCAACCTCATCACTCTCCATCTAATTGAGGTCTTTATGGAACTTGAATTTATAGCTTTTAAACTTTCACTCTCAAGTGCAATTTTTGGTTGTTTAGCTATAAATACATGAACTTTTTGTTGTCTAGTTAGAAGCTATGAACACATATTCTTTTTGGAAATATATGAGTTGTTTAGATATCTTAGGTTGAATATGTGGGAGAGCCTTTTGGTTTTTTGGTTATGCACAGATGAAAGTGTTGGTTTTGTATTAAAGAACATATGTAAATATAGTTGTTTATAGTGTTTTAAAACCGGGNGGCGTGTCCTGGAGCAGGCCTGGCTCAGCGTGTTGCGGGATTGGCTTTGGGGTCGTTGATTCAGTGTTTTGAGTGGGAAGGGATTAATGAGGAAATGGTTGATATGTCTGAAGAAGGAAGGGGAATCACCATGCCCAAAGCCAAAGCATTGGAGGTTATGTGTAGAGCCCGCCCCATCGTAAATAATGTTCTCTTTGGCTCTGACTAGAATGTTTTAAGTATGTTTGTGTGTTCTAGGTTATTTTCTTCATTAGTTTTATGCTAGCTTATTTGGGTGGGGGATTTTTATTAAGCGTTCTTAATAGTCAATGAGATGTGTTTTGTGGTGATATATATAGCATTAGTTAATTATATCCACTGCTGTATCTTTTCTATCAATTATAATGATGTTTGTACACACAATGTTATAAGTTCTTCTGTAAAATCAGTCTGCATTGTGGCAATTATTCGATGAGTGTATTAATGAATTTTTTTTTTTTTAATAGTCATTCAAGTATATTTTAAAGTTAAAATTTTATAAAACTCGAAATGATTAATCATTCAGGTATATTTTAAAGTTAAAATTTTATAAAACTCGAAATGATTAATCATAAAAGGTGTTGATACGAAAATTTACACCAACTTGAGAGATCCGATTAACCTTGGTGGAATCGGAACAGATGTGTACATGATTTAATGAAAATTAGAAATTAAATAATTAAAGAGCAAAAATGAGCGATGACAAGAAACAAATTTTAAAGTGGTTTGGTAAATTTAAATCTTGAGTCTATGTCCACTATTTCTCTTATTGAATGAGAATTGTAAACGATGAATCTTTTCCTCAAACAATTGCCCGGCCCCCAGAAAACAAGTTGTAGACGGTAAAATCTATGGTTACGGAATGGGAGGTATGATCCTGTGAGGTTGAGGCCATTAGCAATCTACTGCACCTGCACACACAAAGAAATAAGAGTGAAACAAACAGAAAACACTAAAGTAGAGTTTGTCATAGGCACTCTGACACTCAAAACAGCAAGGCTGAATGAGGCTAATTTAGTAAGGGTAAGAGAAAGAGAGGGTTATCGAAAGTTTAGTTGGAGACTAGAACTATGGCGGTGATGTAAAACTCTCAAGGTATTATTCAAATGATTGTGATATTGTACCCTTTTTTTTTTTTTTTTTTAGTACATACAAAAACAAGAAATTTGAAAAAAAAAAAGGATTAATGTTAAAACCAAAAACCACTAAACACATACATCTGTTCATTTTGCGACTAACTATTCTAGTTGCTAATTGCGCCCGTTTGCGTCTAACTATTCTAGTTGCTAATTGTGTTCATTTGCATCTAATTATTATAGTTGCTAATTTCGTTCGTTTGCGTCTAATTATTTTAGTTGCTAATTGCGTTAATTTGCGTCTAATTGTTCAAGATAACTTGCAACTATTTTAATTATAATTAGTAGCTAAAATTTTAGTTGCTAAAAGACGTGTTCGATAACTATTTAAAATTAGTTGTTGTATCTTTCTGCGACAGTGTTGCTGCAACAAACGTACAACTACTTTATAATAGACGCTAAATGTAATCAGCAACTAAATCAGAACTTTCAGCGACTATTTACCTTAGATGCAAAGAACACATTTTCTTGTAGTGGCGCCAGTGATTCAATCCAGCGAATTAGGGTCGCCACTACCATTGGCGCCACCCTCACCAGACGACAAAACTTCACCGCCCCCAATCTGTTGTCGGCGAGATTACTCCCATTTGGCATCAAACACTGATAACTTCAAAGCAATCTCTTTCATAATACTTTCCAAAGAGTCAAGTTTTTCTGGTTTGGTGATTGAATAGCAAACAATTTGGTAATCTGCTCATCCTTTACGCGCAAATGAGTACCCTCCGCCATGGAAAGAATGAGAGCACCAAATGATAAGCAAGATCTACTTTATATGAGGAAGTAGAACCTCCTATGAAAATTAGAGACAGAAAAGAGAGATTTTTGACAAATGAATTCACTACCCTTATTATTCCCTTTCAGTTTATATAACTGTATACATGAGAGTTGGGCTACGAAAATGGTTTACTTATATGTTAAATTAATGTGTATTGTACTTTTCTTGTGAAAGGGTGCTATATCGAATAACTGATAGGTGAATGAAACTACCCAAAGAGGAAAAAAAACTACCGATGAGTTAGTATTGATAGAGTGAAAGCCGATATGGACGTTGACTCTTAAAAATGGGTGTAATGTTAAAATCTCACATCCATTAACTATGATACTTAAACCTAAGGGTTTTCTTACTTATCAAGTCGGCCTTTTGAGTCAAACTCTCCATTCAGTTTGAGTTTTTTAACCGTACTTAAACTTAAGGGTTTTCTCACTTATCAAGTTGGCCTTTTGAGTCAGATTGAGTTTTAACCGTATCAGTATTATATACATTTGTTAAACCACTATATCTCAAATAACTAATAACGAGATATCAAACAAAAGAGAGCACTTCCTTTAATTGAAACGCTCAAGCCTCGAGACATGATTTGTAATGAAAAAAATTGTTTTATTTGTTTTCTAATTTATGATCTATCATTAAGAAAATAATGATATGCGAAGAAAAATAATACACAGTACATATCCCAAAATTCGATTTTAATTAATTTCATCTTTCGAACGTTAATATCACTAAACAAAATTACATTATTTACACAAAAAAAAAAAAAAAAAAAAATTAATGTATCATTTAAGGTATGTAACATTAATTTTCTTAAAAGAGTAAATGACTTTTTCCCATCCAAATAATGGCTCAATGATACTTTCTCACTGTTAGGGCCAAAAATCGTCATTGGCCTAAATAAGAAAACGGGCCCGACACTGAAGAAGAAGCCAGGCCCAATCCCGGTATGATCCAACCGGATTAGCCTCTTTCGGTACAAGATATAGCCAGCCCAAACCACGTGGGCGCGAGCCTCTTAATCCCAGTCCATTTCTTAGGTCTATCGGCGGATCCAGAGCCCACAGCCCCCTCAGAATACTTTCCTACTCCTAATCAATCTCCTATTCAAGGTCGCCTTCCTATTCCTGATCACTTTTCTACTCGGAGTTACTCTCCTAATCAGAATCACCTTCCTATCCGGACACTAGTAAGACAACTTACCACGGCCCTAATTCTTCTAGGGTTTGCATCAGAGTCACACTAGAACTCCTACTTCTACTAGGAATGGGAGACCAGACAGCTACTATATAAGCAGAGGCCAGCCCTCTCACAAGGGAGAGAACTTTACACCTTCACACCCGAAGCTCCTATTTGAGAGCTTCACTTCACCGCCGTAGTCACAGTCCCCGACTAGACTTCCGGTAACCTCCTACTCCCTAGCCCTCACTATATTAGCCTTTCAGCCTTGCTGACTTGAGCGTCGGAGTGCCTACGGCAAACACCACCCCGGTGTTTCCCGTTCGCTTCACGCGTGTGTTTCTTTACGTGTGCAAGTACAGTAGATCGCTAGTGGCCTCAACCTCACGGGATCAGACCCCCCCTTCCGTACAGGTAGATTTTTACGTCTACACTCACCATAGACTTTTAAAATATCACTTTATTATTCAAATTTATACTATGTTTCCGATTTCAGTATCATTACGATCTCACACCACCACCATTATCTTCCCCAATCATCACTCACCAAAACCCCTTAACCCTACTCCCACCAATCCCACCAATCATCGACAATCAAGTGATTAGGGTTTGCCCAGTCGTTCCTCCTAAGTCAAATTATGATCAAACCCAACTACCAAAATCCAACCTTCCACCACTAAAAGACTCATCGACCTTCTCTCTTTAAAAGTCTTAATAGTCTGAATTGAGTTTACTCTCTGTTCACTATTAAAATATAAATTTAGATAATAAAATTAAAATTTATGTAGAAAAAAGTCGTCAACCTTTTTAAAAAAATAACTACTCTTGGTCGTCAAAATTAGAGCTAGGCCCAACACGGGCTCTAAATCTAATATGACGTGGTCACCCAATACATTAGCTACTCGTTAAGCCCAATCAAAAGTCCATCAGTTGATTAATTAATAAATTATTAAAAGATGAAAAAGACACGCACAAAATTAACGAGTACTCTCTTATCTCACTTCTAAACGACGCTCTCCGAACCTCTCCACACTTGCACCGTAACAAAGCGCCCACGCTTCGCGCTGTGGCATCCTATAGAATCTCTCTATGTTCTTGGTGCTCGGCTGGGCCGCACGATTGTTTGATCTCCTACCACAACCATTGATCCGGCAACTTTTTCGCAACAATGTCCTCCATCACTTCAGCTGAATTGAATTATCTCGTCTTTCGCTACTTACAAGAATCAGGTTATTTATACTTCGTAAATTTATTTGATGTCAGTTTTGGATTTTTTCTCGTAGAGAAACCAATTCATTTTTAATTTAGAAATTCTAGGGTTTGTATCATGTTCCGTCATGGATTGTAGTAAAGGAGGCTTTTGAGCTGCTTTTCTTGGACTCAATTACCATCATATTTATGCTAGGGCTTGGTTGGGTGGAAAAGTTATTATCTTGGAACCCATTTTTCCTATACTGCCTTCTTTATGGAGTAATGAACATGTGAATCTGTAAAGCTTTCTTTTTTTTTTTTTTTTTTTGCCTTGCGTTATTTATGTATGACTGTTTTATGTGTCTAGGGCTTGTCAACCATTTTCTAGTTAATTTTTTTATTGCAAATAGTTGTTTTATTCTTGTTTAGTGCGCATATGTGCATATGAAGACACGTTTAGCTTACTAGTTGTGCTCTCAATGAAGTCAAGATTGGGCGCAGAATTTTATTTGAGGAATCTTCTAATTAGCTGGTGCTTTTTAGTATGTAAAATCTTACTTCACCATGTTTGAAATGTAACTCTTCTTTTCATTACTTTAAGCGAGAGGTTGGAATTGATGTGATAATTAGTTCAATCAGTTACAAAGATGAGGTTTTGTTTTTTTAATACCGTACCAAACATGTGATAAATTCTCTGACTGACTAGAGTACTTGCTTATGCGTCTATGATTATTATAAAAGTCTAAATATTTCTTTTTATAATTTAAAACAGCATTTTTGCTGATGGTTCTATTTCTTGCAATAATGAGCAGTTACTAGTAGTAGAATGATGGCTGTTAAATGTCATTACAAAGTGTCCTATGCATTAAGAAAATGGATCTATCATTAGCCAATTTTTATTAGTTGGAGATTCCTCGGAGAAATGCATTGAGCAATATTCTGTATCTTTTTGAGCTGTAAATTTGGAGGATCTTAGAAATGATAATTAAGGATGTTCTGATGTTTTGTGGATCTCACTCATGCAGGATTTACACACTCAGCTTTTGCTTTAGGGTATGAGGCAGGTATTAACAAATGCACTATCGATGGAAATTTGGTTCCACCCGGTGCTCTTGTTACATTTGTACAAAAGGGACTTCAGTACTTGGAGATGGAAGCAAACTTGAGTAATGTTAGCATGCTTAATTCCTTCGCCTGTGCTCATCTCTATAATCACTTATGTTTCTTTAAGTGTTTTGCTTTTGAATGTCATAGAATTTATTGTGATCAAGGTATGTTTAAGCTTGCCAGAGTGATGTTGACATGGATGAAGATTTTTCATTCTTACAACCTTTGGATCTCATCACAAAGGATGTCTGTGAACTACGACAAATGGTGAAGGAGAAAAAGAAGAATGTTCCAGGGGATAAAGAGAAAGAGAAAGACCTTGATAAGGAACATGAAGTAGAACGTTCACGTGCAAAAGAGAAGGAAAAGCATGATAAGGAGAAGGAACGTGAAAGGGATAAAGAAAAAATAGATAAGGGTAAGGAACGAGAGAAGCTGCATGACGATCACACTGATCAAGAAATGCTTACTAATCAAGAAGACAAGGTTAATGAGAAACCTGAGGAAAATGGAGTTCCTAAAGGTGAATAATATTATATATTAACACATTTACTCACTTGCTTATAAGTGCTTTGTATTCTAATAGTTTTTTTTTTTTAATCTGTTCAAAAATTCTCTCTGCTTTTTCTTTTGTTTTCCTTACCAATTATATTTTTAATGTACTTTGCAACAATTGTGTATGAAAATGCTATTGATGAGTAAGGTCACTGGTCCCTGATAGTGTGGTTGTTGATTAGCAAATGAAAGATCAGCTATTAAAATTAGCTTTTATTCATTTTGGATGAACTTCAGTTGATTCAAAACCTATAAAGTTAAGAGTTTTTAAAGATATTCAGGTGATTGTATTGAGACTTTGTAACTGGACGGAGTAAAAATTACTTTGGTTTCTATGGCGCTTCTGTTTTTGGTATGATGAATAACTAAAATGAAACTTTAGGATAAAAAATACTTTTGGGACAATTAGAAGGTGCAAAGAAAATTCTTGTGTTAATCTGGAAAGAATTGCCTGGTAAGAACCTCAAAATGGGTTTACAAGCTCCTGTTTTCTGGGTTTTCATGGTGTCTTATTTTTGAAATCTTAAATTATGTGAGTGCTATATGCTTATTTAGACAGAGATACACCATTTGAAGAAAGACTTCTTGTTCATATTCAGTTCCTTGGATTTTTTCTCATGTATAATGTTATTTGTGGCTAGATGGGACAGCTCTTGATTTTTTGAAGGCATTATTTCTAGAAGTTCTTTAGGATCAATGCCCTTAAATAATTTGCTGCCACAGGTTTATCCATTGTGATAATAGTTATCATCAATTGTTTCTCCTGTTGAGCTACATAGTTAAAAGACTATAGTCAACTTGCTCGCGTTAAGAGAAGTTGGAAGACATCAATGTAGTAAGGTTGTGGTTCAGAGTAGAAATTGGCTTAAGATGTTCTTAGAAAATAAGACATGCTTTAGGAAATTAATTAATGCAGTCATGAATTATCTTCTATATTTTCTGATCATGTTGATATTATGAACCTGGGTCCTTAATGCTGTACTTTGCAATATAAATTATGAAATATCTCTGGATCTGTTTAATAGGACCTGAACCAATGGATATTGCAACGACCTCTGCATCCCAGTCCTGCGAAATTCCTAGTTCTGATGTGACAATTTTGGAAGGACATACTTCTGAGGTTTGGTCTTTTTCTCAGTCATCCATTATGTATTTATATTTGTGTTTGTGGTGTACTGGTGTTCTTTGTTCAGTTTTTTATCCTTACTTCAGTTTGATGTGTTGGGTGATAGTGTATCTGTTTGTGCACCCTTGCAGGTTTGTGCTTGTGCATGGAGTCCAACAGGTTCACTTCTTGCATCTGGGTGGGTACTTTCTCTTAATGTATTATGCATATTAGCTTTATGCACTATTCAATTGAAGTGCTGAACATTGAAATATACTCAGTGTTCTTTTGGAGTACAACAATTTTTAGAATAGCCGGTTATGAAAGAAATACCTTTTTCCTCGATTAAAGTTCTCTTGGGAGATTATTTCAGACTGAGAAGAGCACTAATTGATGAGCAGAAAGATAAAATAATGGAATTAGAGAAAATGGATAGAATATAGGGAGAGAAAATTAGAAGAAAGGGAAGAAATCTGGAATCAGATTTAGACAGAGGTTAGGAAACAATACTTTAATCACTTATTCATCATCAACTAGTTTCTCATATAACAAAAAGGCCTATTTATAGTCTTAATACACAAACCTTAATGAAATCATATATCTAACTCTAATGAAATATGGAAACAAAAATTTAAATTACTTGGACAAAATTAACCCTAAAGTATAAAAACAAGGTCTAATTAACCCATGCATCCATTCACTAATAGTCGGTTATTGATATGAATAACAGATGAAAAAAGCATCCATCCACTTAGTGTGAGGACTCAATTGAAAGTCTTATCTACTTTGAATCAATAGTGTAAGCTCTGTGCTACTGTTGGATGGATGATAAATGAGGAACTGATTTTGTATGGATTTAGGGTTGAATTAAAATTCAGCTGGTGCTTATTGGAACTATTGAGAGCTGGTGCTAATTGGAACTATTGGAAAATACTGAGCTGATGATACCTTTCCACTATGCTATGAGTTCTTTTACTATTGCATGAGTAAGATTTCTGCCAATTGTTTTATTATCATCTAAATTTTGGTGTTGGTAAGATTATGTTGGAAATAGTTGATGATTTACAGGCTTAGGCCTCCATAAAAGTACTTGTTGCTGGATTTGAAACAGTTAACTATCACAAATGGTCTTTATGCCTGTTTATATGGTATAGTTATCCCTTAAATTTTGGAAAATTTGAACACTAGGCTAGGTAATGCTGCGCAACTAGCTTAGCAAGTGTTTTAATGTTTTATCTTTATTGTCTGATACCTTACATTTCTGTTACATGCCTCGCTTTGTAGGTCTGGAGATTCCACAGCTCGTATTTGGACAATTACTGATGGGACCTCTAGGTCGGGTGCACAGAATGGTCCTTCAAATGTTCTAGTGCTGAAGCATGTAAAAGGACGAAATAATGAGAAGAGCAAAGATGTCACAACACTTGATTGGAATGTGAGTCCTTCTGCACTATTTTTGCTTAACTACCAAGTACTTGATTACTTTATTTTATTATTTCCCTTGAATCCTAATTCTGTACTTTGAAGATACGATAATTTTTTGGTCAAGAAATGCATCAGTTGGATAGATTTTGTCATTTGATTTTCATTAATTATTCTTTAAGATGGGAAAAAGATTGTTTTTGAGTTGCTAGCTACATGGAGCCTTATATAGTACCATTCTCTATTCTTTGTAACAGAAAATTTTCAACTTTATCCTTTTTTGGCCTGGCTGAATGCAGGGCGAGGGGACATTACTTGCAACCGGTTCATATGATGGCCAAGCCAGAATTTGGAATACAAATGGTAAAGATGTTTTGCCAATCTTTGTCTTCTTTCTTTCCCATCCTTATCTTTTGGGGCCAACTTTTCTGTGTAGAGGTTTTTAATAGGTTAATTTAGAAGTTTTTAGTTTTGTCATGGTGTCTTGGAAGTAACAAATACATTGATGGAAATTGATCCTTTTAGATGGGTCGATTAACATCCTTTCAAATTTTATATTCAGGAAATTACACCATCTTTTAATCTAATATAATTTAGCTTCCAAGTGTAGTTATACATCATATTTAGTACTTTTTTCTCTTAGTATTATGATATTATTAACTGTTATTTATTAGTCATTCCGGTATTAACAAAATAGTCAAATCACCATTAAGGTGAGAAGGGATTGTGGATTCAGTCATGAGGCTCTATTTGGTAGGAGAGAAAAAATGAGAGAGTGGATGAAGATAGGAGGATAAGGAAGGGCGGGCACAGCTTTTCTTTGTTTGGTATGACGAAAAGGGTGATAATTTTACATTATTAACATCATTTCCTCCCCTGTTGTACCTGAAAGGGAGTTAAAATGAGATGAGACATAATGCAATAACTAAAAGTATCCTCTTCCCTTCACTTTTTCAGCCTTCCTACCTAACATTCCATTTTTTCTTTTTCTCCTATCTTTTCGTTCCTCAAGGTGTTACTTCCGGTTAAAAGAATAAAAAAATTATGTATCCTTTGAATTCACGACTTCACAGTCAACTCTGATATTGTATTTTATTGTTCTTTTACTGCATTTTCAAGTTTCTGCTGCATTTCTTATGGTTGCTTTTGGTCCAGGTGAGCTGAAGGCAACTTTGAGTAAACATAAAGGACCCATATTTTCTCTAAAGTGGAACAAGAAGGGTGATTATCTTCTTACAGGAAGCTGTGATAAAACTGCAATTGTTTGGGATGTGAAGGCAGAGGAATGGAAACAACAATTTGAATTTCATGCAGGTGCACATATCACTAAAATTTGAGAATTCAGGATGTTTCTGTGCATTAAACTCATTGTTGTTGGTGCTAAGTATTTATATTTGTGACTTTTAGGGCCAACTCTTGATGTTGACTGGCGAAATAATGTTTCATTTGCTACAAGCTCCACAGACAACATGATATATGTGTGTAAAATTGGAGAAACCCGCCCTATTAAAACTTTTGCTGGGCATCAGGTTTGATCTTGCATTCTTTCCCACTTCATTCCATTTTAAATTGTGATGTCTGTGCTGAAGTGTTAAACCTTGATGGGCCAAATATTCAAATCAGGTAACTAAGTTATATGAAGCTTTATGAGGCTAATCTTATTAGTTTGGTTCAATTCCAGGGGGAGGTCAATTGTGTCAAATGGGATCCAAGCGGTTCGTTGTTGGCCTCATGCTCTGATGACATTACTGCTAAGGTTAATAATCTAGCTGTCTTGTTAGCTGGTTGTTTACCTTCAGTTAGATGTGTTCTCACTTCCTTTCACTTGTATTAGTTTCTTGGCTTTCATTTCTCATGTACATGTTGTATTTTGACTTTTTCTCCAATTATTAGTTACTGTTTCTCAAAATTTTGTTGTTTCTCTTCCTAGCAATGTAAATTTCATTCTTAATAGATAGGGTTGGCAACTCATATTATGTCATGATGCAGATATGGAATATGAAGCAGGATAAGTATGTTCATGATTTGAGAGAGCATGCCAAGGTACCATTTTTCATCATTTGTGTGTGCACATTTATGAACAACCATGCATATTTTTGTTGTATCATTGTTAAAAAATATTGGATGATTGTGCTGCAGGAGATATATACCATCAGATGGAGTCCCACTGGACCAGGGACGAACAATCCTAACCATCAACTGATTCTTGCAAGGTAATTTTGCTAGTTTATAATGGTGTTTCTTGTTTAACGTATCATATAGAAGTTGTTCTGGAATACGTTTTTCTGTTCTTATCTAGCAATTTTTGGTCTTTTTTAGTGCAGGAAACACAAATGATAGTCTTAGATTTTCATGGAGCTAAGCTGATTGACCGTTAATTTTATTTATTAGCTCTATGTTCTAGTGCTAAAATAAACTAAAAGTGCATATATTTCTTATGTGTTTACTTCTGTCATTTCATTTTAGCTGAGTTGTGCACATATGTAACAGGCATCACATTTCATAATGGCCGATCTTTCTCTCAAATATTTTACATTGATTCTTTTGCCTTGACTTATTGTGGTGGCTTTTTATTGATGAAGCCCTTCTCTATACAATGCTGTGTCATTCTATCATTGGCTGAAGCGAGGATTTTTAGTTTCTAGATGTTAACACTATTAAACACACAGTTATTCATGACATAAAGCATGCATGTACACAAACATACTCACTGTATAATCATTATAAAAAGCGCGCATGCACTTAAACACACACTTGTAGATATGTGATTAGACTTCTCTCCTATTTTTTGCGCAATTTTCTGTTCATTGCTTCTTACATTCTCTGGTTCTGCTTTAATGCAGTGCATCATTTGACTCTACAGTAAAGCTCTGGGATGTAGAATTAGGGAAACTTCTCTACAGTTTGAATGGACACAGGTGCGTACACTTATTAATTAACTCTTTTTACAGAAGGCTGCATATAAGAATTACTTCTCAATAGTTCATCATTAATAATAGGTGCTTTTGGCAAATAAAAATAATGGGTGAATGAGACAAATGCAATGTTTATTGGATTTTCTATGCCATAAGTTTGTCATATATCGTTGGACATTTTCTCAAGCTATTACCTCAAGCCTCTTTTCTTAAGCTCTTTTTCTTGTTTCATTGACCAATATTGGCAAGGTAACTCTGGTTACCTGGTAGGTTTCTTGTGTAGTAATTGTTGGCGAACCTCCCATCTGTTTCATACACAGTTTAATGCAACCCATGATTTATGATAGACGTGGTAGTTTTAACTTAAGAGTTTTAAGATACTATTTGATAGGTTTGTTTGGAGATTTGAAAAATTAAATGTATGATGCTTGCCATCATATCTGATAAGTGCCATCATATCTGATAAGTGCCTTGTTATTCAATTACCAGGGATCCCGTGTACTCGGTTGCATTTAGTCCAAACGGGGAGTATTTAGCTAGTGGATCTCTTGATAAATCCATGCACATCTGGTCCTTGAAGGAAGGAAAGATTGTAAAGACATTCAGTGGCCATGGGGGTATATTTGAAGTATGTTGGAACAAGGAAGGTGACAAGATTGCTGCTTGTTTTGCCAACAATACAGTCTGTGTTTTGGACTTCAGAATGTGAAGACTTCGGAAGCTTCCTGCAATATTAGGAATCAATAACTCAAATATCCTCCAAGCTTGTGGGAAACATGGGAAGCCTAATAGGTTTGTCCTCAATATTCAGCCATAGAGAAGTTTAATCCTTAAGGGGATGATAAAACCTGTAATCTATTATTCGGTTAGTTGTTAACATTTTCTCAGTAGATTAGATGTAGGCATTAGTTATTGATTCTAATCTGTTGTAAGTTCTAAGTGACAGTTCTTACTTAATTGCAGTGAGACATCTGCCATGTAGGATGTGAATTGGTCCCAACTCCCAAATCATGTACAGAATTATGCGTTGAGTCCATAATTTATGACTTAAAAGAGTGCTTCTTTTTTGTGGTATAGTGGTAATGTTGTTTGGTAGCCACTAGCCAGTATAGAGTTGTTAAATTATATGAACAGGTAGCTATGGATCCATCGTTCAACTATGATGCATGCTTTTTCCTTATTGAACATCGTGCTTCAAAGTTGTTCTTGTCCTTAAGATTTTATTGCCGCTGACGTCAATTCACAGCAGCAGGATGGACTGGGTTGAAGATTTGGGTTATTGATGATCAAGGTTTGTCATTTGTGGCGTGAATGGGAAGCTGGGCTGTGTAACTTGTGTGGAAATTGTGAATTTGTAACTCAATCCACTCTTTTACTACGAGGTGGGGGCTCAAAGCAGATTGTTAGTGACGCTGTAAATAATGTCTCCATCACACAGCAACTAGGGGATTTTCCGTTCTAGGTCAAAGCGTTGCTTTGGGAAATGGGAACTAGTTGATTGTTTGGACTTTGATATAGAACCTTGGAATAAGTAAGATACTATCTTTTCGCTCACAGTTTCGATCGAGACCTAATTCTAAAGTCCGGATTGGCATAGCAAACCAAACATTCCAGAAGTACACTTTTTTTATTACAGTTTCTCTCGAAATCGAAATTCTCAGCTGCTGGACCTGGACCTGACATCGAAATTTGGAGAACAGAAGGAGGGCGACATTTTTTAATTTAACTTTTTACTTTTATAGGAATGGTCACAAATCACAATGATAAAAAATGTAGAACTATAATTGATAACATCAGCTATAGATGAACTATTACAATTGATAATTAATTACGCAACACAATTCACCAGTAAATCAGTAATCACCACACGAACATGAACCATTAACAAAGTGGTGGAATCGATTTCGATCTCTCATCAGGAACTTGCGTCCAGTGATCTTTGAAATCAGCTTGGTCACAGCATGGCAGTCTAAACAAACCCGTAGGTTCTTCACAATTTTTACTGTTGTCCCTGGTTGAGTACTAATAAGTCCAAAAGCAATAGCAAGTTTTTCACTGTGGACTTCAAGGGATTGCTCTTTTTGCTCTTCTTCAATATCATGTAAGACAATATCCGTCTTTGGAGCGTAACCCTCAGCCTTGAGCCAACCATTGATCTCGTCCAACATCATATAGATTTCTTTGCTCTTTGGGTGTCTTAAATCTACAGCAAGAAACTCATGTACTTTGTTATTTACTTCAATTGAACTACTGCCAGGTTCTTTCTGCACCCCACTTTCTTTCATCAAGGTCCTCACCGTGGCCACTCCATCCCAATTACCTTTTGCAGCATATATGTTAGAAAGAAGAATGTAAGTCCCTGAATTCGCAAGATTCTGACTAACAAGATATTCTGCAATTTTCTCTCCCAAATAAATGTTTCCATGAAGCCTGCAAGCTCCAAGTAAAGTTCCCCACAACACAGAATCAGGTTCAATATTCATGTTTTTGACGAGCTTGTATGCTTCTTCTAACTGCCCAGAACGGCCAAGAAGATTTACCATACATCCATAATGCTCAACCTTCGGTTCAATTGCATGCTCATCTTTCATAGAGTTGAAAAACCTCCACCCCTCATCAACCAAACCAGCGTGAGCACAAGCACTCAAAATTCCAATAAAGGTTATATCAGTAGGCTTTAATCCAATCCGAACCATTTCATTAAACAATCGGAAAGCATCTATGGTAAATCCATGCATTGCATACCCTACTATCATCGAATTCCAAGCAACAACATCCTTGTCATTAAGCCTACCAAAAACCAAACATGCGTCCTCCAAACTACCACACTTACTATACATATCAATCAAAGCAGTACCGACTTGAGCATTAACCTTAACCCCAACATTCTCAATATACGAATGAATCCACCTGCCAGACTCTAGGGCACCAATCTGCCCACAAGCAGACAACACAGCCAATGCAGTCACTTCATTAGGCCTCACTTTCGCTTTCAACATTCGCCTAAACAACACCAATGCCTCATTAGGAAACGCCTGTTGTGTATACCCATCAATCATGACATTCCAACAAACAACATCCTTCTCTTGCATCTCATCAAACAACTCTCTTGCAGCAGCAATTTGCCCTTGTTTCGCATAACATGTTACCATGGCTGTTGAAGAAACCAAATTCTTTTCAGGCATAGTATCAAACAGTTTCTTCGCGGACAAAATGTCACCCCCTCTTGCGTAGACATCCACTAGACATGTCCTCACGTACAAATTCTCATCGAACCCAAATTTTATTGTTTGTGAGTGAAGGGATTTTCCGGGTTTTAACGGACAAGATTTTAATATAGATGAGAAGGTGAATGCATTTGGTTGGAGACTATCAGCTAACAATTGAGAGTAATAGAGGAGTGCTTGTTGATGGAGATTGTGTTGTGCAAGGCTATGAATAATGGCAGTGTAGAGGAAGATATTGGGGTTAGAGGTTTGGTTAAAAAGAGTGATGGAGTAGTGGACGCGATTGAGGGAGGAGTAGGAGCGGAGGAGATGAAAGTTGAGGATAGGGTGTTGATGGAGGTTGTGACGATATAGAGCCGCATGGAGTTTGAGGAGTTGTTTGGTGGATTTTGAGTTGGTGATAAGGAGAGCGAGTTTGTCTGGTGGGGGAAGGAGGTGTTTTGTGGTGGCTGGTGGTGGAGCTGATGGTGATGGGGTGGTGAATAGAGGGGTTGTGGACATGGTTGCTTTTACAGTTTTGGCGCCACTGATGGTTTTGTTTGTTTTTATCGTTTCATTTTAAGTATTTCTGAAACAAATCAGATTAGCAATATAACCAAGCAGACATGGGTGCATTGATGATTTTTATTATTATTATTATTATTATTAATTCACTCTAATTCTTGCTTAAATCATTATCAATATTGTTGATATAGAAATTTGCACCAACTAGAGAATTCGGATTGACCCTGTCGGAACCGGAATGGATGTACGCGTGATTTAATGAAAATCAACAATAAACAAAAAAGAAAGAGTCATAAATAAGAACACCAAACAATTTTTAAAGTCGTTCGGCAAGTTAGAACTTGAGTCTATGTCTACTGTTATCTTATTGCTTTTGAGAGCTTACAAAGAATAGTATAATTCCTATGAAGATTTTCTTAGAACTATTTCCCCGCCTCCTTGAAAATAAGTTATGATGGGTTTATATAGCACTCATTTACATGATAGAGTTGAGATAATATTCAAATACGTAGGATTAAGAGTTGCATGATTTTTGGCTACCTTAGTTGGAATCTAAATATCTTCCTTCCAAATTGAGCCAATCTAAATATATTCTCTCCTAATAGGGAATTATCCTCTCTGGATTGACCGCACAACAATAGCCCCCCAGTTTTTGGAGTGTGTAATCGCGCTTCAAAACCTAATGTCTTTGATCTAGATGGCTGTCGCACTATAGGTTGCAGTCTCGAACTAAAGAACTTGAATTATGCTTGCCGCGATCTAAGAGATCTTGAACACGTGATCTCAAGCGAATGAGCGAGCTTGTGAGATTAATCAGAGAGCATAAAGAGTTTGATCTGAGAGCATAGGGAGCTCGATCAGAGAGCAAAAGGAGCTTGATCAGTGAGCAAAAGGAGCTCGATCTGAGATTGCAAGGAGTTTGATTAGAAAGCGCGGAGAGCTTGATTTGAGAGCATAGCTCGATCAAAAAGTATGGAGAACTTGATCTGAGAGCATAGCTCGATTAGAAAGCTTAGAGAGCTTGATCTAAGAGCATAACTCGATCAGAAAGCATGGAGAGCTTGATCTAAGAGCATAGCTCGATCAGAAAGCATGGCGAGCTTGATATGAGAGCATTGCTAAATCAGAAAGCATGGCGAGCTTGATCTGAGAGCATTGCTCGATCAAAAAGCATAGAGAGCTTGATCTGAGAGCATTGCTCGATCACAAAGCTTGGAAAGCTTGATCTGAGAGCATAGCTTGATCAGAAAGCATGGAGAGCTTGAGCATAGCTCGATCAGAAAGCATGGAAAGTTTGATCTAAGAGTATTGCTCGATCAAAAAGCATGGGGAGCTTGAAAATATATATTTTGTTAGTGATTCAATTGGATTATTTGTGGAAAAATGTGTTTATATTGTGAAATTTGAGTTAATTATTTTATAAATACCTTTTATGGGATTACGGATGTATTTTGAGTATTTTTAGGTTAAAAACGATACTTGAATGAAGAAAAATGATGTTGATGGAATTTATGACGAGAAGGAACAAACGGTGCAAGAATCGGAGTTGAAACGAAAAAGTTGTTACGCGTCAAAGATACGACGTAAAACCTGGAATTCCTTCAAGATGAGCATGTTTTGATCATAACTTTAGCTATAGAAATAGGAATTCGATGATTCTTGTGGCGTTGGAAAGCTTATTCAGAGAGCTACAAAGTTTGTTTTGCTTACTTTGCCAAATTCTAAAGATTATAGACTCATGGGACAGAAAGAATGATAGCCGTAGTGATGGATCACGAGCCTGTTTGGGTTATTGTATTCTCCTAGTCCGAATCTGAATGGTTTAAGGCATTTAATTCTTTCCTAATTAACCTCCAAACCTTAGCACTATAAATAAGGGTCTTTATTTATTTTTTAGGGAGATTAGAGAAGAAGAAAGAGCGGCTACTATTTTGGAGATCAGAATTCCTGCAGTTCTCATTCTTCAATTAGAGAAGTTTTTCTATTTTTCTTTCTTGAACTCATTTTAGTTAATATAATGGTTGTTTTTGTTACTGCAATTATGAACTAAACTCCTTTTCTAGGGCTAAAGATGTAGCCCAATTTATGAATATGTGCTGACGTTATTGTTGTTGATTTTAAATTGAGCATTAATTCTAAGTTTTATTATTGTGTGTAATGCTTTCAATTCTTAAGGGCCCGAGAGTTGAATGATTTTATGGGTTGGGTTGAGATCAAGAGATGAAACCTGATTAGTCTAAGGGAATAAAATCATAGATTGAGCGAACGCTAGAGATAGGTTACCGCGATCTATGAGGCTCTGGTATATTCCAATGAAATTAATGATCTCTTAGCTTCTAAATCCAACTTAGAAATATTTTGGGTTGTTGTTTAAGCGTTAATTTGCTAATTGTTCAAGAGAAAGTTAGTGGAATATTCGGGAGTTTGGCCTCTAGAATAAGCTTAATTAGGTTAGCAATAATTGTCAATGCATAAGATTAAATTGGTGTGAAATATGTGCCCTAGGTTTAGTCATATTCATCTTTTTACCAAAGTATTAATAAAATTCTGCTTTTATTTAGTTTTTTGTTTGTTTTATTTTTCATTAAATTCATTCTTAAAATTTTGTTTCATCAAATAGCAATAAAATAAACTAGTTTGGTACTTAGTAAGAAGTTCTCTTGGGATTCGACACTCATTTACTTGAGCTTTACTACTTGTGCAATTTCCTACACTTGCGGATAGCCTATCAATCTGAGAGTATTGCTCGATTAGACAGTATGGAGAGCTTGATCTGAGAGCATTGCTCGATCAATGTAAAACCCCACTTGAGGTACATACTTAAGATTTGCTGTATTACTTAAAGGATTCACTGTTTCAGCTTCAATTGAGTTTATATGTTGTATTGGTTAAGTGTTTGCCTTGGTTTGGTTGAAATTTGGTGAAGTTTGGAAATTCGAGCTTCGCCAGGGTGAAGAAGAAGCTTCGCCGCGGCGATGAGGAGCTGCACCCACGGGTAGGCTCTGCCGTGTTTCGCCGGGGCGACGTATTGTTCTTCGCCGCGGCGAAGAGCCTAACAAAAAGTTTCTTAAGTTTTCTAGAGAATTCTTCCTTTGGGGCACAATGACCTTTCTACCCCTAATTAGTAGGAAAAGTGGGGAGTAAAATGTAAGGACATTTAGTAGAGATTGTGTTGGATGGGGGTGTATTGGTAAAGAATCAAAGGATTATAATATGAGCTAAAAAGGGTTAAGTGTAGAGAAACCCATTAATTCATCCATTTCCACCGCCTCTTCCATTCTCTAATTTCTCTCAATTTCTCCATCCAATCTTCCAAGATTTCTAAGGAGTTTAGAGAGCTTTTGGGAAATTTTTGGTAGAGATTTCATCTAAAGCAGTCTAAGGTAAGGATTCTTGCTTTAGATATTGATTTGCTTGTGTATTTGTATCTTGAAGCCTCATGGTTTTATGGTTTAAAGGTGTAGAGAAGGGACAAGGTACTAAGGAGAAGTCTTAGTGGAACCTCTCCATTAAAGGTAAGTAAATCCAAATTAAATTGAGATTTAAGAATTCATTTGAGTAAAGATTGTATATGTATGTATTATGCTGGTTGAGAGATTGAGATGTTATGAGTATTTATATATGTTGATATTGAATATAATTGAGTTATGAGAAGTGTTGTGATTGCATGATGATGAGTTGAGTTGATTGAAGTTGGAGGGAGTTTTGAGCAAACCCTATGGGAGTGTTTTTCCTTGACAGGAATTTAGAGTGTATAAGGGAGTTTTCCTCCCATTTTGGGATGGTTAAAGAGAAGAGTAGAGTTATAGATAATTAGAGCTTTAGTATGCATAAGAGTTGTTTGATGAAATGCCTAAGTGGAATTTGCCCTGTCACAGCCGTGACTTTCTAAGTGATATTTGGGTATCTTACGGATTGAACTGGGCTGAGACCAAAACATAAAAATTATAGCCCTGTCTCTAAACTTTAAAACGAAACCAAAATCGTAGCAATCTGATGTGTATAACGCAAGTTATGCCCTTTTTAGTGTGACCTGTGCAGAATGACTGTTTTGATGCAATCTCGTATTTGGCATTTCATAAGGGCATTAGTGACTTAAGAAGTAGCTTGAGACATAGTAGAGAATTTGCGTATAAGCTACTTTAAGAGCTAAGAGAAAGAGAATAGAGTAGGTTGTGCGATGGGGAACCCGTGAGTAATGGGTAGAGTATTCCCGCATGTACACCGCATTGAGAGAGCGGCATGAGTATGAGAATGAGAAGTGGTGTAGCCCGTGAGAGTGCATGCGGATGAGGGCTATACCCGAGTACCTGAGAGAGAGATTATACACTTACATGGCCAAGGGTTCTGAATCCATGCATAACCGAGTCCGATCTGCTAGAACGAGTAGAGGTCACGTAGAGCGGGAGCGAGTCCCGGCCGTGCCCCCGGTAAGATGGGGCCGTGACTTAGAGTTAATAGAAAAGAGTTCTAAGAAAGAGAAAGAGAGAGAGAGAAGCACCAAAGAGGAATTGAATGAGAAGTTGTAAGGAAAGAATTAGAGTGAGAGTTACAGGGTTAGACGGGTAGAGGATTTACTTACTGGGCATTGTGTTAGTGCTCACCCCGTTATTTCCTATGTTTGCAGGATCCAGGTGAGGACGCGGTCGGATGGACGTCGACACGCGAGGGGAAGCGGTTACACTGTCCACCATGTCTTTGACGACTTTTGTACATATTATAATTTTGTGTAAAATATATATATGGTTGTAAAGCATATATATGTATGTTTAATAAAAAGAAACTTTTGGGCTAATTTTCTTATGCTATTTTATATGTATTTTCTTATATAAATCATATGAGTATTTGAGTAGAAAGTGGCTGTTACAATCAAAAAGCATGGCGACCTTGATCTGAGAGCGTTGCTCGATCAGAAAACTGAGAGAGCTTGATCTAAGAGCATTGCTCGATCAGAAAGCATGGCGAGCTTGATCTGAGTGCATTTCTTGATCAGAAAGCATGGCGAGTTTGATCTGAGAGTATTACTCAATCAAAAAGC